TCTTTGACTGATATCGGCCAGGAGATTTAGCATAAGCCAGGGTCGTGCTGAGGAGTGAGAATCGTCCACAGCCGAGGTGCGAGTTTGTTATACGCAAAAACTTCGGGCAGGATGTTTTCTGGTGTCCTTGTGACCATAGAAATCTCAGCTGTCTTGGGAAATACCACTTCTGACTGTTGATTTAAAGTAGTCGAGTTGTTGGGAAACTTGACTTTGCGAGGTCGCTTAGGGTGCAGGTATCGAGAGGAGTCAGAGCTTTCGTTGAGAGTCGTCTCCAGTCTACTTGGAGGTCTCACAGGCTCCTGCACTGATTTGTCTTTCATCAGTCTTTGCAAATCTGTTGTTGTTGGAAGCACGGTAGCTGAGAAAGGGCCTTTAGGGCTTGATGGTGATTGGAACAATGTCGATGCCCCGGTGATCTGAACTTCCTTGCGAGGACGTTTAGGATGGAAGATTTTAGGTGTATCAGACGTGTAGGCCAGTCCTGAATGCTTGGATTCAGATCTCCTGGCAGCTCCGGTGGTCTTCAGAAACGAGGTCTGGTCGTTCGACGAATTCTCAAGGCGTTCAGCTGGTATCGTTCCTGTGGTCCGGGAAAGCGATGAAGTCTTTCTTTTTACTTCAGTTTTCATTTGCTGCTGACCAAGATGGGAAATGTCGACAACGTTAATGAGGTGTCGCATCACCTTAAACGAACGGCTTCGGAGGGTTTGGGAATTCCCCTTCGTGTCCGAGCAAGATTTCTTTGAATGTTTAACTGAAACATGCGAGATCGTTTCCTTGCTCTTCACCGTCTTATCCTTGGCTGTCGCGAGCTTGTGGCTTGATAGTTGAACATGAGATGGAAGCATTGTCGTCAGTCTTGTTTCCAGGGCCTCCAGCCGAGTCTGTAAGATGGTGAGTTCCTTGCAGAGGACTGTGACTTCTGACATATCGGACCTTGTAATCAAAAGAGACCAAACGACCAGCGAGAAACAGCGATGACAGATTGAATGCTGATTCCAAAACGACAAGAGTAGTTTGCAAGAACCAACAGCCACAATCTGTTCAGAGGGATAACCGACGATGATCGCTAACTTTGGTCCAGAGATGATGTCCAATGAAAGGATGGGGAAAGTGTAAGAGATGAGAAGATGCAGAGAGATGGGAGAGATGTTTGTCGTCCGGCTTGATGACCAAGAAACGACGAGGGATACTAAGCCGATGATGATTTATCTGCGTTAATCCGCGAGGTTGAACCAGATTTTATTCTTCTTAAAAAAAAACTGAAAAAAAAAAAGATGAATCCTCGTAAAGCAAGGGTTCCGTCTGCACAGGCTGTCCAGGTGTACAGGTATAAGGGGTGGTCGCCAATTGTCAGCGGTGGGTTACTCCAAGGTGACTAGTATCCGCTCGATGGAAGTTTACTGGATCCGTCCAGTGGCTCCACGTCGTAGTAAGATACTGATCTGATCCAAAGAGTTCACGCCCAGGCCGTTGATAAGTTTTGAGACAGTCAGGCGTATTGAGATCCAAACAGTGATTTGGTGATTTAAGAGGAGTACGCTAGGTTGAAGTAGTGATGTGTTGATGTATCTTCAAAGTAAAGAGGAATGATGTAAAATAAAGGGTGGTTATTATTTCGTCTCTTCTGAAAGTCTGAGGAACAATAGACTTCAGTCCGTACAACTTTATATATCTGGCTTGGCAAGGCCAACTAGATACAAGCATATGTAGAGTATGTTAATAATGAAATGAGTGAAATGAATAAGAAAATGAGTGACATGAGTGTGAAATGTATGAAGTGCAGTTGGTGTAGCAAAATACTCAGTTGACTAGTTAAGGGGTAACTGTATTTTGCTTGCCAGCTGACAATGAGATAGTGACTAAATCTTGTTACATTAGGTTTCAACTCTATTTATCATTATTTGCGCAACCGTGATATTCACATTCTGACGCCACAGCCGTTCAGCCCATGAGCATACTCCATATGGTACTCCAATAGAGAGAAGTCACTCTAGTCTGACTCATATGAAGGGAAGAGGATTCTGATGTTGCAACTCAATAGTTGACCAGCACACATCTGGATCACTCGAGTCATGCATAAAATCAGGACCTGTGTTGGATTAGGGAAGACAACAAACCAACACCTTTTATCTTGAGTTTTAATCACCAAGATCAAACAACTCAGTTTTTCATATTAATTTGAAGATTAAACCTTAGTATTGCTCTTAGGAAAAGCTGTTTCTCTCTTGTTTCAGCTATAACACATTTTGTATATATAATTAGTCGAGAAGATACCCCATCACCCGTAAAGAAGATATGCGACACAGGTGTATCTTGGTTCAATGTTCACTGTCTCACACAACCGATGTGATCCACCGAGCCGGCCCTTTTACATTGTCCAAGGGGAATAATCAACCGTACTCGCGTCGCACTTGCATTCTCCTCTTGAAATTCGACGTGAGCATCTGATCCTGCCGGCATGGGCTGCGCTAAGATATCATGCCAGTTGGCTGAATTGACATCATTGATTTAGGGTCTTAGTTAAACGACTCCCAGAAATTGGAGTTCCGACTCCCAAATTTCTGGGACGTCGCAAGGACCATCTGGGGACGCTCTTCAGGACGTCCTCGGGAGTCGGACCTCCAAAACCTTCAGAAGGTTTGGGAGTCGCTCCCCTAATGAAAAAATAAAAATAAATGAAAAAAACAAGAACCCCCCGGGGTTTTTTGGGAGTCGATCCTCCAGGAACCCCAGGGGGGTTGGGAGTCGGCGCCGGAAAGATGCCCTGAGCAGCCGAGAGGGATTCCATCTCGGCCGCTAAGAGTGTATGCTCTCAACGGCCGAGAGG